ACAGAGAGAGAGAGAGAGAGAGAGAGAGAGAGAGAGAGAAATAATTAGTAGTTTCAAACTGAGTCACACGCAGGTAAAGCCAAATAATTATAGGGGGAAAGTGTTTTTTAGACAAAACATCTAAAATACAAATGTCAAAACAACCAGCTGTTTAGCTCAGTAACACAGTATATTAAGACTCCACTTTATACAACCTTTTTCTTCGCAATTAATAATTGTCAACATTTTGCTGTGATATGAAAACATTCTCTTAGCCTTAGGGGAAAAAAATCAGATTATTAACATAAACATTTTGTGTAGATGCTTCAAAAACATTAATTTTTTTTAAGTGAAGATTACTCTATCACTTCTACTGTTATAAAAACAAAAAAACAATTTTATCAGCACTTCTTTTAGAATCAGTCCTGTGGGTTTGTGTTACCCTGGAGGCAAGGCAGCAGAACTGAGGTGTTGGAGGAGGGGATATCATAGGTTGAAGCTTGTTTTTCTATCCCGCCATGAAACACATCCTTAGCTTTCTGATCCTGTGCAACAACAAAGGAAAGAATAATGAAAAACACTTAAGAGCTCAGGAAAACAGTTCTAATTTAAATATGGACTATTTCTTTGGTTCTTAGGAAACCATCTTTACCAAAGTTACCTTAAGATAAATATTGAAGTAAACACAATGTGAATAATGAAGCACAAATCACATATTTCAAAATAATCATACATATACAGTATTTGCACATTTCTTTAATTAAATTATTTATTCATACCCAAAATCAGATATAGTCACATTTAACTGAGTTGATTACAAAGGAAACGATATAAACATTACTGGAGTGAGTTCTATTTATTAGAGCAACAGCTAGAGGTTAATTGGGCTAAAACCCACCTTATCTTGGGTCATATCTTGCAGGGTGGTGGTGAGAGGACACTTCTTCTGTGGATTAGATACTGGGTATCCATAATAGGCCAGAAGCTCCTCCAAGGAAGGCTCACTGACCTAAAGGTGAATATGGTAGAGAAGTGTTATAAAATTTTGATTAAATTTTATCTTCATCTCCTAACAAAACATTATTTTTTCCAAAAGGTTGAAATTAAATACAACAATGCAGAAATAATCCTAAAAAAAGTGCACCACTTGATATAACAAGATTTAGCAACAATTACTTAAGCTGTTGTTTCCCATATGACTTCTTCAGTCCTGTACAAATTTTTGAAGGAATCTAGGCCCACACCTCTTTACAAAATTGTTTTAGTTCATTTAGGTTTGTAAGCATTTTGCTGTATTTCTGTCCTCTTTAGGTCCTGCCACAGCATCTCAATCGGGCTGAGGTTTAGAAGTCTACATTTCCTCTTAGGCCTTGATTTTTGTCCTCTTTAAGCTATTCCTTTGTTGACTCACTGCTTAGGTAATCATTGTGGTAATGTTCAAGTTTCAACCAATATAGCTGATGTTTTAAGCTGCTATGTTATTGTTCAACTGAGGTGACAGTTTGTATTAAGGTCAAATATTCAACTTTGGGCTAATTCAACATAAGAAGAACTTAATAAATGACTAGTAGTTTTTTTTTTCAGAAAAAACTTAAGACATATTTGAACAAGATTGCTTCCTCATTGAACTTCCAGAAATTTAGTTTTTTTTTTTTTTTTTCCTTTTGTCCATGCCAACTCCTTCAACAGTGTCCACCAACATCCCTCTCAGATGCCTAGTGTGCCAGAGACAGGCTTTATCTGTGAAATTAGAAGCTATATATATATATATAAGTAATAAAACTATAACCAATGATTTGTTGAAAGTAAAACCTCAAAAAACGGTCCACTGAAAGGTGCGACAGAAGTAAACGTTCAAAGGTGGTTTAATCAGCCAGATTTCTGTTTTCTCACTGTAAAGATACCATAGAGGTAGAAAAAAAACAACAATCTGGGTTGAGATTTCTACTTAAATTGTAGTTAAAACCTGATAATTTTATATTACTCTCACTGTGAAACTAATAAATCTATTCAGTCGCTGTCTATACCCGCTTATCCTTGCAGGTTGCAGGGAGAGTTGTAACCCATCTCATAAAATAATCTATATGATAAATTTAACATAAACTGAAAATCAGATTCCCAAAGAATTAAATAATGATGATCTAATTAAAATAACTCCAATTGGGGAAAAAGTTAAAATGATTAAATGTGGTCTACTTAACATAAGATCTCTTTACTCAAAAACTCTATTAGTTAATGACTTGATAAGTGATAATCATATTGATTTATGTTGCCTTACAGAAACTTGGCTGCAGCAAGAGGATTAGGTAAACATGAATGAGGCAACTCCTTCTAGTTATTTCAATTTTCACATACCGAGAAGTTGTGGGTGAGGAGGAGGAGTAGCAACAATGTTTAGGTCTGGCTAACCGTTTACTCCAAAGGCAGTTAATACTTACAACGCTTTTGAACATTTTCAGAGTTCCTATCTGATTTGGTATTAAATACTGACAGGGTCATCATAGTGGGGGATTTTAACATCCATGCTGACATTGAAGGCGATGGCTTAAGAGCAAGAGAAAATGTGAATAGTTCCACACGTTCTTATCTTCATACTTTGGATCTTGTGCTGACATATGGCATAGAATGTGAAGAAATAACAGTATTTCCTCACAACCCTGTCCTCTCTGACCACTTTCTAATAACCTTCAGGATTACTTTAAAAGAGTTCTCATCCCCCAAAAGAAGGTTACATTTTAACAGAATCAGTTTCCCTTTCTCTCTCCTCTGTGTCGCTGAGCAGTGCTGCACAGTGCAAAAACTTAGTTTATTCCCCTTCACAGGTTGATGATTGTTGATGGGGTTGCTAGTTCTCTGGGTACTGCCTTAGACAACGCAGCCCCTTTGAAAATGAAAACCGTTAAAAATAGAAAGCTGACTCTGGTTTAATGCAGAGCTGCGGACTTTGAAGCAAAATGCTAGGAAACCGGAGAGAAAATATCGCTCCACAGGCCTACGGGAATCCTACCTAGTCTGGAAACTAGTTTAATGCTGTATAAGATGACCCTTTGTAAAGCAAGAAAAGCATATTTCTCCTCATTAATACAGGAGAATAAGATTAATCCCAGATATCTTTTTAATACAGTTGCGAAACTCACCCAGAGCCATAGCTCTGTTGAGGCGTTCATTCCATCTGCTCTTGGCAGTAATAATTATATGGGATTCTTTATAAATAAGATTAATCTTATTAAAAATAAGATCATTAACACTCCTTTATCTAGGATTGATTTATCTGTGGAAGGTGAGGCAGCATCTGAGGTAGCCATAGAATCTGAACCATGTTTCGACTGCTTTGATCCAGTTGAACTTTCAGAGTTAGTAAAACTATTGTCTTCTTCTAAGCCTTCAACTTGTATGTTAGATCCAGATCTAACCAGGTTATTTAAAGAGGTATTCCCTTTGATCTCCTCCTCCATTTTAGATGTAATTAATCTATCCCTGTTACAGGGACATGTTCCTAACTTCTTAACCCAGATGACTTGGTCAATTATAGACTTATATCCAATCTTCGTTTCTTATCTAAAATTCTTGAAAAAGTAGTTGCCAAACAAGTGTGCAAGCACTTACACTATAATGAACTTTTTAAAGAGTTTCAGTCTGGCTTTAGAGCACATCATAACACTGAAACAGCTCTGGTGAAGGTTGCTAATGATATTCTCATGGCCTGTATTTGTGTCCGTCCTATTGGAGCTCAGTGCTGCATTTGATACAGTTGATCATAATATTCTGCTTGTTCACGTTAATGACAAATCTTCCTCATGCTCAGAGGTTACCTGTGGAGTACCACAGGGATCAGTGATAGAAACAATTCTCTTTACTATATA